GATTGTTGAAGAACTTAAAGTTTACATATTTAGATATTTGAATAGGCTTTCGTTCACAATAATAAAATAGAAATCATTACGGATTGTGGTTCCGAAAAAAAAGGTTAATACACTACCATCTATAATTATTGGAAGGGTCATATTTTTCAATATCAAAGATATCAAAGTTTGGCGAAAAAGTGAGAACAATGTCTACCTGAATTATATGCTATCTTCCTACTTATTCGGTTTACAAATATAACTTCCCTGATTAGTTTATAGTTTATTTAAAACCCTGATTAGCTTTTAAAATTATTTGCCTATTAATCACCCTTAGCAACAATAACCGCCAGAAATATATTCTTAGGATTCTACTTAACGACTTATCTAATTAGTCTATTTTGTCACTAAGTTTTTTCAACAAAAAAAATACACATGTATTAAATGTATATCAATTTATTTATCTATTTAATTTAATCTTTATATAATATATAATTTAATATATATAATTTAATTTAATTAATATAATTGAAATACTACTAATCAATTTACTGATATTTTTTCTATAGCATTGTTAAAAATGGTCATATTCTGAAAGGTAAAGAAATTTATTGAAAAGAAAGTTGCACAAAAGAAAAAAAAAACTAAATAAAAGTTATTTGTTTCAAAAAACGTTTTACGAAGAGTTTTTCCAAACAATTTTATTTTTAATTGGGTTTTTTATGAATTACGTCATAAGCATATTAAGGCGTTTTGAAAAACAGTTGCTGCATATATTTATAGTAAAAAAGTTAATGTAGCAAAATAAACTTTTAATTGTCAAAAGAAAGTTTTAAAGTTTTATCTAGCTACAGGTTTTTTTTTTTTTTTTTGCCTCCACAGCAGCATCTTATGAAGTAGCAGGGCTGTTTTGTTAAGTTTTTTTTTTATTAAGTTTCAGACAACTTTTTTTTCAGACCATCCGCAGCTTATTAGGACTAATTACATTCGCACATTAATAACATAAGTGTCTCAATTATCATAGATACGCAACATATTTTTTCTCCTGGTGATGTTTTTTTTTTTTAATGTTTTATGAAGTTTTAGCATTCTTAAAATCTTTTCTTTTGTGAGTGCATAATATCGTTACGTTACATATGTTTGTATATAATCTTTATAAAACTTCGAAAGTATTTTGTATTTTAAAATAATTAAAAAAATTAAAAAAAACAGCCGCCTTTGGTAGGAGTCAAACCTCTAGTTCCTTGTTCAGAAGTTCGCCGCCCTATCCACTCAAGCTACGCCGGCATATCATCAAGTGTAGATTTTATAAAAATGTAGTAATTTTTTTGACGAAAAATATGTTAGATCAAAATTAAGGAGAGGTTGACGCAATGTAATTTTCGAGTAAAAATCAAACTGTAAAACGTGATAAATGTTTCAGTATGTTTTAACATATGCTTTAACATTACTTAAAGTATAAAGTTTACGTTCTTTAGATATTTGTTCACGTTTTCTTATAGTGCTGCGACTCTTTCTTGCCAATACCTCGGTTGCAATGGCTGCGAAGGGTTTCGTGTCAAATACGCTCCAAGGGACACTACTACTACTATTAAGTTCGGCAATATTATATAGAAGATATATATATATATATATATATATATATATATATATATATATATATATATATATATATATATATATATATATATCTTCTATATAATATTGCCGAACTTAATAGTAGTAGTAGTGTCCCTTGGAGCGTATTTGACACGAAACCCTTGGCAGCCATTGCAAAAAGTTGTCTGAAACTTAAAAAAAAAAAAACTATATATATATATACCTGAGTTGCAAACAATATTGGCGTAATATTGGCACGATATTGGGTATCTTGGCTAATCTTGGCCAAGATATCCGATATTGCGCCAATATTGTCAAGCAATATTACGCCAATATTGTCTTACCATTATTGGCAAACAATATTGCGCCAATGTTATCCATTATCGTTTTACTGTTATTGTTATGCCAATATTGGCGAAATTATGCGCCAATATTACCCATTATCGTTTTACTGATATTGTTATGCCAATTTTGGCGAAATATTCTTTGCCAATATTGGCTTTATATTAAATTTTACAAATTGGTACGCATGCGTAACATTAAGGGATATTCATAATGTCCTTTAGTTTTGATAAATGTGTTTAAAGATTTTAATTTACGAAAAAGGTACCCCTGGACACATAATAACATTAATAATATATATATATATATATATATATATATATATATATATATGTATATATATATATATATATATATATATATATATATATATATATATATATATATATATATATATATATATATATATATATATATATATATATATATATATTATATATATATATATTTATATATATATATATATATATATTTATATATATATATATATATAATTAAAAGCTTATAGAATAAATGACTAACTCTACAATTGGATCATTGTAAGTGGTACATACTCAGAATGGATAATAGTAAATAGTGTATAACTGTATAACTTAGTATATTCTGTATTTACAGAATATACTAAGTTATACAGTTTGTATTTTGATAGCTCACCATGCAATAACCTGCAATAAAGTATGGAGATTTTAGCGAACTGGGCAAAACTATGAAAACTAAGTTTTAATGTAAAAAAATGTAAAGTTATACCCTTATGGCCAAATATTACAAATTTTTCCCTTAGGACAAACAATGCCCTTAGGACCAACAAATACAAAATTCTTTTATATGCTCGTTGATAAAAATCTCAATACTTTAATTAATATTAAAAACTCTAAAGAAAGTATTAAAAACTCTAAAAAAAAAAAAAAGGATCTTTATTGACAGTAATTTGACTTTTATTTTTTAAGTACTAAGAACAACACCGCCAATAAAGTTGTAGGAATGATCAAAAGATCATTTGTCAATCTCAATATCTTGACATTTCGTACTTTGTTTATTTCCCTTGTTCGTCCTCACCTTGATTCTTGCAGCTCTGTCTACTATCCTAGACTTTGAAAAGATCAACTATTATTTTAAAATGTTCTATGCTAGTCTAGTAAATTTGTTTTTGGCCAGACTGGCATTACTTACAACCAAAGACTACTGAGACTAAATTTAACTAGCATAAGCTATCGTTTTATATGCAATGACATGGCAGAAACTTACAAATGCATTCACAATTTTTATAATTGTAGTTGCAACCCTTTTGTTTTCTTATAAAATACCATTCAGTATTTTATCTATCAACACCTGTGTCAGAAGAATGTCATCTGCGCAGCCATTATATTTATTATTGTAATTACAGACCATTAAGTAGTTAATCTGAGTTGTAATAGTATGCGTGTTAATATGGCCACTTCTTAATATTAATATATGATAATATATTTAGTTAGTATTTATTCAACTCCAACTTAACAACATGCGATCATGCTTATAATGTGAAAAAAATGTTTTGTAAGACAGATGTCCTGAAAAAAACTTTTCAAATATGGAATTCACAAATTGGTAGAAAAGTCTACCATCTGAAATAGTGTTCAACATCTGTCACGACATTAAAAAAACATCTAGACGCGTCTTGGGTTCATTAAATGTACAATTACAAAATGGTAATTATTTATTTAAAGCCTCAAGTTGTTTATATTCATTAATGTCATATTTTAATAAGAAAATATTATCATAGAATCCTTTCCAAACTGCGCAAACTTTAAAACTCCTTTTTTTTTACTAACCAATAATTAAACTCTACTTGCAATAAAGAGCGATTATATTAAACATTAAGAAATGAATCTCAATAATTTTTAGCCTAATTTTTTTAGTTAAACAAAAAAAAAATCTCAAAAAAGAAAGTTAATCTGAAGTTTTTTTATATCATAAATTTATTTGTAATTATTTTACAATATGTGTGCCATAAATGTAATCTGTTTTTTATGGGGTATCTATGAAAGTTTGGTGTATTGACCAAATCACTTGCAAGCATCTTGCTATTAAACTGCCATACGTATAGTCACGCTTTTAAAAGAAACTGAAAGCAGCTGAAAATCACAATTTTTTGGTAATTGTCTTATTTACAATATTGTTTTTGTTTTATTTACAGTATTGTCTTTGTTTTTTATCTAAACAGCTGTGTTTGACTCAAATATAGTAAATGTTGATTGTTTATTATGGTTTCATCTCTTTTTAATTTTTTTTTTGACAGTTATGAGACTGCTTTAAATTGGAATTATCTGTGTCTCCAGCTTAAAAAGATGCAGATTACAAAAGAAGTGACACTAATGAGATTGCCTCTCAGTTTCTCAAAGATTGAAGAAATCTTTAGTGTTTTAGGGTTAAGTGATTCCATCAGAGCTTTGCTTGACTATCTCTTTCGATTTATTGAATTTATTTGCCGATTATAGATGAAAAAAGATCTTCTAAACCTAGAAGAAAAATTATGGAACAAAGACACCTTATGAATCAATAGTATATATCAGTGAATTGATATAAGTTTATAGTTTTTGGAAACATTACTATGTACTATTAAAGTTTCTAATTTTTAAAATATAGGATACATTTATATGTAACATACAAACAAATGATCCAATATGATGTGTGATTGACTATAATTATGTTTTATATCAGAATGTTTGATATAACTGCTTATTACATGTAATTGTGATTTTTATCTTTTATGCCCAGTTAGCATTGTATTTTGTGTAGCAATGACTACTTATCTCAGATATCAATGAGATCTGCAGGGTGTATTCACTGCTACAGATGTCATATTCTATTTAAAAGCAATTGCTTTTACTTTTCCATAATGTCATATTTTAATAAGAATCACATTATGGAAAACCACCTAATACATACACATGAGGAACCATTATATTTTTAGTACAACCAATTATATTACATTTGTTTTCTTATTTTAGATGAACTTTCTTACTTCGGTTGGAGGAGATGAGAAACAATATACAGCGGCAATCTTAATACAACTATTAGCCAAAGAAATATGTTTTTCATATTCAGTGTATAGAATGAAACAAAAACGTCCTGCAAGGTCGTTATAGGTCAAGCACAATATTTGTATTCTACATCCCATTTCCTTTTAATAAATTAACATTTTAATAAAAGCTTATTACTTTACAATATTTATACGTGAAAAGTTATATGTTTCAAAATTATATTGTGATGATATTTAAAAAACATTTTGTAGAGTTGCGTTTAGTCGTTTATCGTTGTATTCGTTCATTTCGAAATCGTTACTGACAAAAGTATTAAAGAAAAAAATGGCAGCTTTCTGGCGACGGCTGTTAATAGAGATTACGGAAGAAAAATAGAACCGTAACTGAGCAACGCCCAATATTGAGCAATGAAATAAGTATCGCAAATTTAATGAAAGTCGATGCCCACTATCTCATTGTGAGATTATAATACAGTACTTTATATATATATATATATATATATATATATATATATATATATATATATATATATATATATATATATATATATATATATATATATATATATATATATATATATATATATATATATATATATATATATATATATATATATGTATATATATATATATATATATATATATATATATATATATATATATATATATATATATATATATATATATATATATATATATATATATATATATATATATGTATATATATATATATATATATATATATATATATATATATATATATATATATATATATATATATATATATATATATATATATATATATATATATATATATATATATATATATATATATATATATATATATATATATATATATATATATATATATATACATTTTTTTTGTGCGTGTATTCAATAACATTGATTTTATTTTGTTATATTTTGGTTTTGGAAAACTCTATACCTCTTTTTTTCATTTGTATCTGTTTCATATAACTTTAAATAAATTTAATGATTTTGAATTTTTTTTTTAAAGCGTGTTCTATGATTATTGTCATCTCCAAGACTATAACCTGTTTAACTCAAAAGAATAATGTAGCCTAGTACTATAGTATCACTTAAACAAGAAAACTGTTAGTAATTTTAATTATTACAAATTTGTAGAAGGCAATATTTTTTATTATTTTTTAATAATAAAAATTTAATCGAAAATACTCAATATATTGCCTTAATTTAGTTATATATATTATATACATCAGGATAATATTGTAAATTATATTAGGCCAATATTGGCTAGTATAATATCCCCATTATTGGCGCGATATTATTTACAATATTGGCGCAATTTTATAAACTATATCGGGCCAATGTTGCAGTGTGAACATTTTGCCAATATTGGCCAATATTGACTTTACAGTATTGGGGCAATATTATTTTGCCAATATCGGCCAATATTAACTTTATAATATTGGCGCATTATTGTAGCGCCAATATTGTAAACAATATTGACCCAATATTGCGCTAATATTGTTTGCTGCTAGGGTATATATATATATATATATATATGTATATATATATATATATATATATATATATATATATATATATATATATATATATATATATATATATATATATATATATATATATATATATATATATATATATATATATATATATATATATATATATATATATATATATATATATATATATATATATATATATATATATATATATATATATAAATATTTATAAACTACTGTATTATACTCTCACTATGAGATAGTAGGCATCGACTTTCATTATTTTGGCGATATTTATTTCATTGCTCAATATTAGGCGTTGCTCAGTAACGGTTTTATTTTTCTTCCGTAATCTCTATTAATGGCCGTCGCCAGAAAGCTGCCAATTTTTTCTTTAAGTCTAAATCAGTAGCGATTTCGAAATGAACGAATACAACGATAAATGACTAAACGCAGTTCTAAAAAATGTTTTTTTAATATCATCACAATATAATTTTGAAATATAATTTTTCTTGTATAAATGTTGAAAAATAGTTAGCTTTCATTAAATATTTATTTATTAAAAGAAAATGGGATGTAGAATACAAATATTGTGCTTTAACTATAACGACCATGCAGGACGTTTTTGTTTCCTTCCATACACTGAGTATGAAAATCATACTTTTTTAACCATTAACTGTATTAAGATTGTCGCTGTAAGTTCTCCTCCAACCGGAGTAAGAAAGTTTATATAAAATAAGAAAACAAATGTAATATAATTGGTTGCACTAAAAGTATAATGGTTCCGTATGTGTATGTTTTAGACGGTTTTCCATAATGTAATTCTTATTAAAATATGATATTATGAAAGAGTGAAAGCAGATGGTTATAAATAGATTATGACACCTGTAGCGGTTAATACACCCAACAGATGTCATAGATATCTAAGATTAGTAGTCATTGCTACACAAAATATATTGCTAACTGGGAATAAAAGATAAAAATCACAATAAAATGTATTAAGCATTTATATAAAACATTCTGATATACAACATAATTACAGTCAATCGCATATCATATTGTATCATTTGTTTGTATGTTACATATAAATGTATCATATACTTTAAAAATTAGAAACTTTAATAATACATGGTAATGTTTCTAAAAACTATTAACTAATATCATTTCACTGATATATACTATTGATTCATAAAGTGTCTTTGTTCCATTATTTTTTTTCAAGGTTTAGAAGATTTTTTTCCTCAATTACCGGCAAATAAATTCAATAAATCAAAAGAGATAGTCAAGTAAAGCTCTGATGGAATCACTTAACCCTAAAACACTAAAGATTTCTTCAATCTTTGAGAAACTGAGAGGCAATCCCATTAGTATCACTTTTTTTGTAACCTGCATCCTTTTAAGCTGGAGGCACAGATAATTCAGTTTTAAAGCAGCCTCACAACTGTCAAAAAAAGTATAAAAAAGAGATAAAATCATACTAAACAATCAACATTTACTATATTTGAGTTAAACATAGCTATTTAGATAAAAAACAAAGACAATACTGTAAATAAAACAAAAACAATATTCTAAATAAGACAATTACCAAAAAATTGTCATTTTCAACTGCTTTCAGTTACTTGTAAAAGCGTGACTTTACGTATGGCAGCCTGCTTGCAAGTAATTTGGCCAATACACAAAACTTTTATTGATCCACCATAAAAAACAGATTACATTCATGGCACACAATATGTTTTTTCATTGAAAAATTTAGCCAGAGAAAATTTTGTAAACTTTATTACCACCTTCAGTTTAACGGTACATCAGCTAAAAAATAATCACATATAAATTTATGATATTAAATTTTTAAAGATTAACTTTTTTTTCCTGATTATTATTATTTTTAACTAAAAATATGAGTTTAAAAATTATTGAGTTTCATTTCTTAATGATTAATGTTCTCGCTTTCTATTTACGTAGAGTTTAATAATTGGTAATTAAAAAAAAGTGAATTTTGAAGTTTGCGCAGTTTGGAAAGGTTTCTATGATAATAGAAACCTTTCCAAACTTTATTTTCTTGTTAAAATATGACATCAAGGAAGATAAAAAACTTGAGGCTCTAAGTAAATATTTACCCCGAGATTACGAGATTCAATTTAGCATGAGACTATGATCTCATGCTCAATTGAATGAGTTATAGAACACTGAAAAAAAGTTTTTTTATTATACAACACTTAAAAAATAAACATAAAAGTTATTTGGTATTTAGTTTTAAAATTTTGATATAACATATTGTTATTGTTATTATTGTTGTTATTATTATTATTATTATTATTATTATTTTCAAAGTTTATAATTTTAAAAATAGAACAATTAGGTATATAAAAAAGCCTATTAAACTTTTGTTTTGTTGTATCTAATTATGTAGGTCTAATTGTTTAAATGCAACTGTACATTTGATGAACCCAAGATGAATCTAGATGTTTTTTAAATGTCGTGACAGATGTTGAACACTATTTCAGATGGAAGACTATTCTACAAATTTTTGATTTCCATATTAGAAAAGATTTTTCCGGACATCTATCTTACAAAATATTTTTTTCAATTTATAAGCATGATCGCCTGTTGTTAAGTTAGAGTTAGTCATAATGGAGGAATAAATACAAACTAAATATATAATCATATATTGATATTAAGTAGTGGCCATATTAACACGCATGCTATTAAAACTCAGAATAACTACTTAATGGTCTTTAATTACAATAATAAATATAATGGCTGTGCAGATGACTTCATTCTGACACAGGTGTTGATAGATAAAATACTGAATGGTATTTAATAAAGAAAAAAAAAAGAGTTGCAACTACAATTATTAAGATTGTTTTTGCATTTGTAAGTTTCTGCCGTGTTATTACATAAGGAACGATAGCTCATTCTAGTTAAATTTAGTCTCAGTAGTCTTTGGTTGTAAGTGAGTCAAACCTGGCCAAAACCAAACTTACTAGACTAGCATAGAACATTTAAAATTAATTGTTGATCTTTTTAAAGCCTACGATAGTAGATAGACAGAGCTGCAAGAATCAAGGTGAGGACGAACAAGGAAAATAAACAAAGTACAAAATGTCAAGATATTTAGATTGACAAATGATCTTTTGATCATTCATACAAATTTATTGGCAGTGTTACTTTTTGTACTAATTATTTATTTTTTATCGAAGAGTGTGTCGATAAAAATCTCAATACTTCAATAATGATTTTTGTATTTGTTGGTCCTAAGGGCATAACATAAATTAAGATTTCATAGTTTTGCCCAGTTTGCTATAAGATCCATACTTTTTTGCAGGTTATTGCATGGTGAGCTATCAAAAAGCAAACTGTATAACTTTGTATCATATATATATATAAACAGATACAACATCTAAAACTAAATCAGAAAAATCATTAATATATATCATAAAAGTAAATAATAGGGGACCCCACTATTTACTATTATCCATTCTGAGTATGTATCACCAACAATAATACTCTAATGCCAAACTGTTAAATAACATTCAAATCCAATTGTAAAGTTTTTTATCTATTCTATAAGCTTTTAATTTTAGAAGTAGGAGATAGTTGTGAAATCTGTTGAAAGCTTTCAAAATACCTTGAAATAAAATTTCTATATCAGTTTTATTCTCCGAAGCTAACGTCCAACATCAATCCTCACTAAAGTGTATTGCATTTACAAAGCAGCATTTGTATAATTTTAACTATTTTCAGCATTACTTATTGTGTGAGTTTTACATTAATCTTGTTTAACAACTTTTAATATAATGTGATAAAGCAAAT